GATATTGTGATGATATTGTGGTGATATTGTGATGATATTGCAGTGATATTGTGGTGATATTGTGATGATATTGTGATGATTTTGTGATGATTTTGTGATGATATTGTGGTGATATTGTGATGATATTGTGGTGATATTGTGATGATAATGTGGGATATTGTGATGATATTGTGGATATTGTGATGATATTGTGGTGATATATTGATGATATTGTGGTGATATTGTGGTGATATATTGATGATATTGTGGACATTGTGATGATATTGTGATGATATTGTGGTGATATATTGATGATATTGTGGTGATATTGTGATGATATTGTGGTGATATATTGATGATATTGTGATGATTTTGTGGTGATATTGTGGTGATATATTGATGATATTGTGGATATTGCGATGATATTGTGGTGATATATTGATGATATTGTGGATATTGTGGTGATATTGTGGTGATATTGTGATGATATTGTGGTGATATATTGATGATATTGTGGTGATATTGTGGTGATATTGTGATGATATTGTGGTGATATTTTGATGATATTGTGATGATGTTATTGTTGTAATGATATTGTGGTGATGATATTGTGAAACTATTGTTGTGATGATATTGTTGTGGTTATATTTTTGTGATGATATTGTTGTGATGATATTGTTGTGATGTTACTGTTGTGATGATATTGTTGTGATGATATTGTGAAGTTATTGTTGTGATGATATTGTGGTGAAACTATTGTTGTGATGATATTGTGGTGATGCTATCATTGATGATTTTGTCCTTGGTGATGTTGTCAATAAACATAATATATTCACACATATCATCGCAATACTAATGGATACAAGACTTACATAGAATTTAAATAATTTTTCTCATCAGATCAGGCTGACAGCATTACACTCACAACCATCACCACTACCCCCATCAAAACTACTAACATCACCACCACTGACGTGACCGCGTGTTGTGTTGTCACCATACATAACCATCATCACTCACCACAATCACCACCATCATCACCACCACTACCACCACTCACAATACTACAAGCCAAATATTCCACTAGTGTTGCGTATACGGCAATGTATATACTAATAGTTATAATAATTAATTTCTAGTATGAAAGCGATAGTTTAGTCTCATGTCCGGCAAGCCATGTGCCCAAGTTGCAGACATCATAGCCTGGGACTTCGTTCAATGCATTATAATCATTAAGACAACGCAGGTACAACACAAATAGCGTAGTCTGTACTTTGGTTGTGAACTTATTCTGGTCAGGAGAAACAATCGATTATAAATTTTCCAGCTAATTTTCCAGCCAATAGCAACAGGAGATACTCCAACAGCTTCCACTCTGCAAATCTCAGCAAGTTTTAACAGGGCGGCTGATCAACACATAAGGTTAGGAAAATAAAAGACAAAACTTAATAGTTTTGATGCAGAAATGCAGCACAATGACAAAAATATAATATCTAAGGAAAATTATACATTGTGCCTGCATGAAGAAAATATTTCTACTGGAAATTATACAGTAGTGCTTGTGACAAGATCAGCTTAGGAGATGCTCGCACCTGAGAGAGTCATGCACAAGAAAAACATCCAATATAATAGCACAAAATGTTTAGAAAGAGCAATACGAATTCACAACACGAAAGACATTTTTCAACCAAATCACGAATGAAGCAGCATCAATCTTACAATAATGTTTGCTGAAAAAAATGAAGGGTGAAAATAAGCATGCGAATGAAAACATGCACATTGTTCATGAGGAAGAAGCTCATTTCATTCACCGGAATCCAGCGATGAGAAAGAACAAAGCAAAATAAAAAAGCAGCTCCAACTGAGTAAGTCCGGCAGCAGCAAAGCATCAACATCTTGCATTGGCAAAAGAAACATTAAAATAAAAAAAGTTGCATCTAACTCTTAGGAATGTTACATTTTTGAAACGGGCAGAATATTTTACCTGATTCATGATACAAAATCGAAAAAAAGCCGAAAGGGACCAAAAATGCATTACAGCTCCGTGAACTGGGACATTCAAGTCGAGGGTGCAAGCAGAAGACTGTCGCAATACTTGGCTAACTCAATGAGAAATGTTAAATTTGAAATCATCCAATCAGAGATTTAATCAGATTCCTGAAAGTATGAGATTTTTAGGAGACTAAAATACGTGAAGCATTATTATAAACTTTACGGGGCAAGCAGAGTTGCGCTATAACTTAGGTCCTCAAGAAAATATCTGGTAGCTTTCTGTACAGTTGGCGACCGGGTAGATCACTAGCGAGTGACATGCCGCGCAATGAAATAAGATCTTTTCATTTCACGAAGAAAACCTATTTATGAAATAAATGATAAATAAATAAATAACAAAACACCATTAAACCACTCGCTGTCTCAGCTGCTCATGTTACCTAGACATTACCTATCACCTACCGTCCCTGCATAACATTCCACCCTAGACTTGACCTCTCACTTGTGTCTGCCAACATTCCTACCGCCTCCCTACCGTTAATGTTGATAACGTCGACACGTCACCTAAGTCGCCGGCCTTCAATAAAAACGATCTATTTTATAAACATAACTGAACGATACCTTCGCAGTTATCATGTGGATAGTGAACCCTACAAATCGTACTTCTGACAAGTATTATATAGGTAGTTTTTAGTGATGGGTGTCAAGGTAAGTGCACTAGTATCTGCTGAGTGGCGAGTTGTGTGCCCTCGACGGTAAAATTTACCTCTCACTTGCCGGTCCCATGGCCCTAAGGATCCCCTCTCACCAGCCCCCTAGAGGGCACCGCCCCTAGAGGATGCCGCCCTACAGGAGGGCAAAGCAGCGAAGTGTGGCACTACTCACCCCGAACCAGCGCGGAAAATAGCACTAGAAAGAAACAACAGGAACGCCATCAGTGAAGACTGATCAGCTAAAGAGCGACACGCAAGCATAGCACTGCGCTCGGCATCCTGAACATTTGATCGCAGGATTCCTGGTGAATGAGCATTCAAATAGTACCTAGTACATAGAAATGGAAAATTCGAGAAAGTTACATAAGAAATGATAATGCAAATTTAGGGCAAGAATCCTGAGTACTGTTAGGCAGGGAGAATCGTGGGCAACTGTTAGGCCGCGGCATAACCATGAGTTGCACTGCATTTAAAGTGGAAATTTTAAAATAAAGTATAAGAACTCAATACGGGATGATACGAATCAATACCAAAAGATGAGTAGAACTTTATTTAAACGACAGATACACATAAGGCCAACACACTTCAAATGTGCACTTCAATGCGGAACATTCAGATTGAAAAAGGATCAAGTTACATCATGCACTGCACACATTGACTAGACACATTTAAGCAACAAGGCTCTGCATCTACAGTAATGAATGCGAACACATTCCGGATTTCCACAATGTGAACACATTTGGGCGAACACATTTTTGGAATTGGCCTGCCTCCAAAGAAACAGACTCGACGTGCTGTGAAGTGAAAATATCTACAAACACAACTCTAATAGCGCTCTTATCTTTGCTACAAGAAGTTATCTTCATCATAGACACAAGATACTAGGCTACCACCACCTCAGTGAGTATGAATATTTAAACGCTTGCTGAGTATCACTCGCGCAGAGTTTGTGCGCTCATACAATGTGATGAACAACGATGCTAACCACCACACTCATCACACGGATACTTCAAACAGTGTTGACTATCTTGCATCAACAGCAATGCAGTGCAAAACGATGCGATGTAAGACTTATCGAGTCTTATTCACATAAACACGAGTTTTTCAGGAATTTTTGTTCTGCTGAAAGAATTCACAATCCCGGGTGTATATCAACTAAATGAAGAAAATTTTTAATACAATGCAAACCTCGGGACAGCTTATGTCCTAAAAGAACAAAAAATTAGCAAGATTTACGCGAACGACACTCGTCACGAATAACAATTGAAACAACCATGGCGCAGTTTAAAAAAAACGTAATCGTTGAAATGCAAAGCCCTTCTCACAGAACCAATATGAATTCCGCCTGAAAATTGCAGCAAACAAAAGAATTATGTATAAGCCTTATACTAATTAACATCATTTAATACTCATAATTTCGTAGATGATGATATCAAATCAAATATCATCAAATGATGATATCAAATGATGATATCAAATGATGATATCAAATGACATTTGATAATATCAAATATCGTCCAATACAGAAATTACCGAGCGTGTTCTGTGAGTGCATGCGTCTCGCTCACCTGGTCATGATAGAGATGCGCGTAGTGCGCGAGGCCCCTGAGCGCGAGACGTCGCACGTCAGGACACACGTCCTGTACCAGCATGAGCAGCACAGCAGTGACTCGTCCCAAGGTCTCGTAGTCACCACCACACGCCTCGTACACGAGCTGACTGTACAGCGCTGCGATCGCTGCTCGCTCGCCTCGCTCTGCGTGAGGTCCTGACAGCGAACTTACGAGGGGCGCCACCAGGCGAGGGCACGAGCCCACCAGCAGCCTGAGGGGGGCGTGAGGGAAGTGCTGTGACGGTGACACGAGTGGGCTGGTGATATGAGCGAGTGGGCTGGTGATATGAGTGAGTGGGCTGGTGATATGAGTGAGTGGGCTGGTGATATGAGTGAGTGTACAGAGAACAGGAAAAAAAACTTCAAAATGCGACACAGATTTAAACATAAATTTGTACAGCTCATTTCTTTACAATAGCTGGCTGCAGTCGTTCCATGCATCACCATGAGGGAGATGTCGTGGTACAGCCTATAGAGCATCTTCACTTCATCATTATGAAAAAAACTGCTAGCAGATACCAGGGCAACGCAGAGTTATGACGTATGTATGATTTATTCATATTAGTAATTGATTTACACCTTGAACAAATAATACATGAACAAAACAGAAGAAGGATTAATTTTAAAGCGAGTTCACGTGATAAGTTATCACAAAACGTAAGACGTGACTGACGTGGCTGTGCTGGTGAGAGTGTGCGTGAGCGTGTCGAGGTTGTGCGCGTGCGTGACGTCCGTGGCCTCCTGTAGGAGGCACTGCCGTAGGGCAGGACATCCCAGCACACCCCACACCGCAGCCAGGCACCCCAGCAACGCTCTGAACAACACAACAGCATTTAATCTTTACGATCCAATTCATCATTAAAATAAATTCAGGTCAAACCAGTTACTAAAATATATTTAAACAAGTGAATTGAATTACGAAATTTCAGCTAACTGATGCAAATCTAGACTACATTAATATGCATCTGAAATTAAGGCGAGCTCACGCAGTAAATAATTTAATAAAAAAAATCCCCAATAGATGAACGTATCGCAGGGAAGGCATCGTCAACCCACATGAAGCAACACTAAGCTTCACGAAGAACAGCTGAACTACACGGACAATCTAGGATAAAACTATACAATACAATGTAATGTCATTGCGACTGTTGGGGATGAAGTTGACATATAATATAAGGTGATCCAATTTCTTCTAAAATATCCAAGAAAAAGGTAGAAACATTTCAGGAATAGTGATATTTCAAGGCCTGTCGCATGCTCAGTGAGATAAAAATGCGTGAGAAAATAATATGTGGCCGTCACCTCGCAGGGACGATGTTGGCGGCGCCAGGGTTGGGGACGAAGGAGGACGTGGCTCTGGTGGGGGGGTCGTGATCGTGGTCGGGGGTGGGGAGAGGGGTGTGGTGGAGGGGGGGCAGCACCCCCACATAACTGCCATACCGCGGCAACAACGTCGCCAGCAGCCCTGGCAACGACCCCATCACCGCCTGCGGCAACAGGCAACTAAACATCTCATCGCATTTGAGAACAAAAAAATTGTAACTTAACAAACAGTCTCTTATAGAATAAAGCATTTATAATGCATACAAGAATAAGACTCCACATTCATACATAATATAGAGGGAAAGTGTAGTACATACAGAATCTAGTGCCAAGAACAATCATCAACAGTGCCTTCTTCCAGTGAATCATTCCCTCCTCACGGCCAAATGCAGGTCCCCAGATCGGTGGCGCACAAGGCCATCCTAGGACCACCTGTGAGGCCCACTTCCCTGGTTTCTGGGCCCGCTTCCTTATTACCGGGTGATATCGTGGGGCCTAACTCCTTCTTAACCCACCCATGGGGCACATCTATTTTTCAGAACCCACCCACGGAGCCCTCTTGCCTGCCTTACACGCCCACCCATGAGGCCCTCCGTGACCAACCTCCCTGGCAGCAGCGAAGGGATGCGTCGCGGCGGCAGGAGACTCGCGCCCCGAGCCTGGCCGCCCCGCGGTGGCGGTGGTGGCGAGGGACGAGGGCGTCGTGCACGCCGTGTCGCCCACGCCCCCACAGGCGGCACCGTCGCCCACGTCGGGCGTCACGGCAGCACCCCGACCCCCACCAGAGGCGGCGTCCTCGGCCGTGGGCGGCGATGCAAAACTGCCGCCACTCGCCTCCGTCGCCTGCAGCTTGTGCAGCAGCTGAGCCAGACACAGCAGCGCCTGCCACCACACGACACATCACTACCACAAACATCACATCACCAACACATACATCACATCACCACCATCTTGTCACTCGTAAGTGATGCACATCACTCCTACATCGCATCATCATCGCGTCCAAGGAACTGCACTATACTATACTATACTGCACTATACTCGTATATAATACAGCAGATAAAAATTGTTAGGAAGGAATATAAAAGAAAAAATATAACTCAGTACTCACTGCAGTGAGTGACAGAGAGCGCATTTTCTCGTCGACGAAAACGTGAAGTCACGGACGGACAGACAGACAGACGGACATGGCGAGCACAATAGTGCATTTTTCCATAAATGAGAAAATGCGCTAAAACACAGTTAATTCAATTCCAGCAGCAAGAATATTTTAACATTGGAAGATTTTTATGAACAGAATATTGAATGCACTACAGAAAAACGGAGAAAATGAACACAAAAACAATAAATGAAAACAGCTTTGATGACATTGAAGCAGCAACAGCACGACATGTTGCAGCAGCAACAGCACGACATGTTGCAGCAGCAACAGCACGACATGTTGCAACAGCAACAGCACGACATGTTGCAGCAGCAACAGCACGACATGTTGCAGCAACAACAGCACGACATGTTGCAACAGCAACAGTGCGACATGTTGCAGCAGCAACAGCACGACATGTTGCAACAGCAACAGTGCGACATGTTGCAGCAACAACAGCACGACATGTTGCAGCAGCAACAGCGCGACATGTTGCAGCAGCAACAGCAGCACGACATATAACACATTAGGGGCTGGTGTGTACGGAGGTGAATAACACATGTACTATACAACACAGCAAGAGGCTGCGAAGTAGAGGCATTAATAATAACTGCCTATGTATTACAACACACAGCAAGGGGCTGTATGGCGGCAACTTTAACGGTGTGTCCGGTGTGTGTGCGCTGGGGCGTGTAGGCGTGTGTCCGCTCGACCACCTGCTGGAGGTGTGTCAGCGCCGTACACACCAGCCGCGGGTCGCACCCGATGGCTTGCCACGTCTCGCTCACACCTCTGCACGTGTACAAGTGCTATTAATACATGTGAATACTGAGCAGGAATATGCATTGATGTGTCAGAAATGCGTAGAATAATGAGCAGGAATATGCATAGAAGTCTCAGCAATGCGTACTAATGCTAACCAGGAGTAGGGATACATATATTAACACTGGACATAAATAATGAGCAGGAATAATGGTATATGTATACAAGTATAAAGACTTGTTTAAACGGCTTTTTAATAAAAAGACAATTTTGATCAAGCAACGACGTCATCTAAAGTTGCTCGATCCTAAAAATTTAAATCAATGAATTATCTGGTCATTAACCACTCGTGTTTAAACAGAATCATTCTGCCATCTAAAACTAATTCAAGTATCAACACTGCACACTAATACTCAGAAGCAATATGTTCACAAGTATAACAATAAAGACTAACGCAGAGCAGTTCTTGTTCATCAGATAACATGTTTCTAATGAGGCAGGGTTCAGGAAAACACTTCACTTGCATCAAAAAAAATATTAAACACTCAGATATAAAAGTATCCCCTCAAGTCCTGGCTTCACTGCGAAGCTTTGTGCGGCGTAGCGGAACATGAGACGGGACGTGGCTCGTCCTGGATGTGATGTGAAGGATTTTACTGTATTTAACGAGTGGGGAGTGAGGGGAGGGCAGTACCTGGGGGGAGGTATGGGGTAGACCAGTACCCTGTCTCTTATACACATCTAGATGTGTATAAGAGACAGCACCTGAGCAGGAGGCTGAGCTGCCTCACCTGAGCAGGAGGCTGAGCTGCCTCACCTGAGCAGGAGGCTGAGCTGCCTCACCTGAGCAGGAGGCTGAGCTGCGCGAAGGCCTTGCCTGCCTCACCCGTGAGAGCGTCCGCCTCGACCGCCTCCTCGCTGCCTCTGTAGGCAGTGACCGTTATACAGGCACGCATTCGAAAAAAATAGTCTTGATGTTCACTTATTATTATTAATGAAAGAAAGCTCAAACATTAATGCAGTAAACATTTCAAAAAGACTCAAAATTCTGCCTTGGTACTAACGTAAGTGCAATAGGATATAGGTTTAATTGTATTTTCTTGAAGTCTGTCTTATTTGGGCGACTAAACTAACATCGCAAACTTGAATGTGGAATGCCTACAATAAAATTTAATTCAAGCAAATTGACAACTCAGCGCAAATAAAAAATTTACCAAATGATACATGCTCGAATATAAAAAAGTGCATAAGGCAAAATTAACAATTTCTTTAATTATGCCAGTAGTCCAATATGATTTTTTTGCAGACTTAGAAAAAAATGCTAGCAATAATTAGAAGAGTCACATGTAAATGGTGAAAAATACATAGCGAATCTTGCAAAAAGTATCATTGTTCAACCTCAATCGGTCGCTAATTCTAGTGCAGACTTAGAAAATAATGCTAGCAAGTCACATATAAATGGTAAAAAATACACAGCCAATCTAGCAAAAACTATCAATGGTCAACCTGAATCGATTGCTTAAGCAAATCCTCACGCTGGTTCGAGAAGTTTGTTCTTAGGATGAAGAGGCAGAGTCGCAGCGCTAAAGGAACGAGAAGACCCGATGCTGGCGAGACTGGGTAGGTTGGCAGAAGTGAAGGAGGTGATGGAGTNCGTGCTGCAACACAGTGAACCTTGTTAGAGTAGAATTACAAGATAACAAGTTAGTTAACAAGAACTAATGCATAAATGCGTAAATATGCACGTGAATGCAAAAACACTGTCAGCCACACACTTGCAATATTGAAAATAGAATTGAGGGAACATGACTCACCTTATTGCTGTTGATGACGTTAAGAAGATGCAACATGATGGGGCCATCAACATGCGGTAGGAGGGCAGCATGAGGCGTCATGGCACACACTTGTCCCAGACACACCACGACGCTGCACCGCACACACGCGCTGCTCTCGCCGCTGTCAGACTGCCCGCATTACAGCTCGTTAGGATAACATCTGTCATGCTATAGCCTTTTATTTGGGGAACTACAATGAATATATCAGTCGATACATTGAATTTATCAGTCGATAAAAATTTATTTCTGCAATTGAGCATCCGTGCATCCCAGCTAACGCTCTTTTCGGCATCACTAAAGGTATAAACAATTTCTAGCATATAGAAGCCTTTCTTCCTCCTAACGCTTCAGGAAATTAAGCCTTTTTTTAATAACCACAACTTATTATAGAATGAATAATGTATTTCGTTTTTGGACAATATAGACAGAATACAATATATCTCCGTGGAAGCGAAACTACAGGTTTGAGTTCTTCGCATAGCTGAACTTCAACAACAATAAAGCTAAAAGTTCCCGGCCAAATCCCAGTAATAGCTCAGATGAGAAAATGTAAGGTGCGTAAGTTCATCCTTACATGGACTTAACTTGCCAAGACTACAATGACGTCTACCAAGTACAAGCGTGATCATTATAAGTCTGGAGCACCTTAAGCATGGCCATGAAGGAGTGAAGCTTCTTGTGGTCAGCGTCCTTGAGCCACGTGGCCAGCAGTCCCACCACGAGCTCAGTGTGGCCGGCGGCACACTGGCCCACACACACGCCCAGACTCTGCTGCTCTGCTCACACGTATAACACTGTTATACGTCTACTATTATATTATATATCGATATGATACTCTGCTCACACGTATAATACGGTTATGCGTCTACTATTATATTATATGTTTATATAACACTCTGCTCACACATATAATACTGTTATAAGTCTACTATTATATTATATGTTTATATAACACTCTGCTCACACATATAATACTGTTATACGTCTACTATTATATTATATGTTTATATAATAGTCTGCTCACACATATAATACTGTTATACGTCTCCTATTATATTATATATCTATATGGTACTCTGCTCGCACGTTTAATAAATATTAAAAAAATTGTCTTGTATAATTCTTTGGCTCGTTTATATGCCGATAATATATAAATTCACGATGAGCAAACATTGTTGATTTGAAAAATAAACTACAGATAAAATCGTACAGGCTCTGACTGATCTTAACTCACTGAGAATTCAGTTATGATTAATACGTCTCAGGGGTAACATAATAATATCATTTGTAGATTATTGTTCCCGAACATGCATGGAGCTTTCGGATTCCTAGCCCGCTTGCATATTAGGGAAATTTGTTTTGTACATGAGAAGTCCAATGCTTTAATGTGTGAATTCCTGCTTTTCTTAATTGGCATACAGCAATATTTACGTGATTGCATGTTCGATCTTCTTCATCTTGCTATTGCATAAACGGTTTGGTGTACAAACTGTGCTGCTAACGAGCACCGCCGATAGGATTTCCTGATGGCCAAAGTAACTAAATCTTTGGAAAGAATATAGCTTGTTGAGCTCCAATATAGCAGCTTAGTGACACTCATCAGCACTAGCATGAGCAGCTATGACACTCACCAGCACTAGCATGAGCCTACTCACCAGCACTAGCCGGAGCCTACTCACCAGCACTAGCATGAGCCTACTCACCAGCACTAAGTTTGTGGTTGGTGAGGGCGAGGGCGGTGTTCAGGGTGTCGGTGACGAGGCGCGTGTCGCAGGAGTGACGCAGGGCGACGCCCAGCGCCCCCAGCAGGAACAGCCGGCGCTCGCTCTCAGTGTCGCGCGTCACTTCGCTTATCTGCGAACAATAAACGTTACTGCAGACAAGCTGTCATCTCAAGGGAGAATAAACGTGACAATTAAACAGAGTTATGTACTGCACCACGATCAGCGAGTAAAACATAGAGGTTGTCCGGAAAGTAATAGGATTTAAGTCAATGAAAATTAAAATAGTTATCGAAGTAAACGTTTTTAAGTCTTCAGAAGACTTCAAGATTAGCTCCTCCTGCGCATAGCGCTGCTAGTATCATTACAATGCATAGAAGCCGTCACAGAAGATATTCTCCGAACCAGCCACTGACGCATGGAGAGAAAGTTATCAAATTTCAAAATATTTACCTCGTCTCAGCATATTTGTCATGACTTTACCTCCTTCTTTACTAAACAAAACAGATCAACAAGATAACTTCTTTCATTACGAATACACATCAGATGGCACAAGTCACTTAATTATGATGGCAAGATACCAGTGAAGAAAAAGGTTCAGCAAGAAATACCTATATTGTGTTATAAAAAATCTCAAAATTAAATAAATCCTGAAACTAAAGCAACGGAAAATTTACCAAGGAATGTTGTTTACGATTTCTATCGTTCTTAATTAAACCATAAGTGTTGAATAACAATAAGCTAGGTAACGTTACAGGTCTAGATAATTAAAATAAAGCTATAATTTCATATACAATTAGGTAACGTCATCAGGTCTAAATAATTAAATTCTAGCTTTAATTTCATATATAATTAGAAGAGTTGTCAGAGCCGTACGATGGCCGAGATGAGGCCGTGAGTGAAGCCAGGGTCGGACATGGCGGCCAGCGTCTGGCTGAGCAGCTCCCGCACCGTGTCTTGCCACACCTCACGCAAGTAAATTAATTAGCACCAAGCTGGTATGCTTAGAGTGGCACGTACAATTATTAATGGTAAATTTTGAGTGCTCGGGACAGTTAAATGAAACGAGAAAAAAAATACATACAGAATATGTAAACGATGTGACGAACGAAATCATAAAATTACTACTCGGCATTCAGCATAAAAAAAAACGTTGAAGTGAATTTTATAATATTTGATTACAAGTATCTTAGTTCATTTCAAAATTATTTTATTAAATTCAAAGTTAGAATTGTGGATTCATCGAGTCTTGGGAGATTTATATAAAGCCACATATTTACAATTACTTGACGACTGTAATCACAGATGAATTTTTAAATGAATTATGACAAATTATGACGCGCTTCACCTGCAATGCAGTTGCGTCTTGTTCGTTAGCAGCGAGGCTGAGACACGTGCGTCGCAGCTGGTCCACTTGCTCCCTCCACTGCTGCGTCTGCAGCGCGTCGCTCAGATGGCCTCCCAGGGGCGCCAGTATAGCGAGGGCCGCGCCTCCCAAGGGCGGATGCATGCAAGGGTCGGCACAGAAGGCGAGGAGCCGCGTCAGCAGAACTTGTGACGTCACGCAGCCCATCAATGTAGGCAGTAATGGCAGCAGAGGCAACACGGTCGGGCTGTGGTGAGGTTGCGAGATGAGATGAGACACGCACGGCAGCACCGTCGCCAGGCTGGACTCGTAGTCAACTCCTGTAATGAACGTGAGAAGTCGCGGCCACAGGAGCGGGTGAGCGCATGGCACTGTGGTCGTCAGGAGGTAGAGGGCGCGGCTACAAGTGTCACCCACGGTCTCTTCGCCCACGTGTCCCCCACTGAGACTCCCCCGGGTGCCAGTCAGGAGGTTGGTACCAGCACCTGCGCTATGCCTGACGAGGTACGTGATGAGCGCAGGGGCCGAGGTATCGTCCAGGTGCCCGTTATGACAAAGCTCAAGTATGAGCTGAGCAACAGCTCTGATCACACGAGTGTTGGAGTCACACAGTATGGGCCCCAGCAGCCGTATGGTGCCAGAGATGATATCGTCAGACAAGACCTTGCATCCCACCAGATGCTTGGTGACCACGAGAGAAGCCACGCGCTGCACATGACTCGCGTTCTCAAGTCTCATGAGTAACTGAGCGCCGATCTGAGCAGGGTATACCTGCGCTATGAGATGACAACATCGCAGAGCTTCGCTGTGGTTACCTACACTCGTGGGCTCGCTGTAGCAGGGAGCGACGCTGGCCTGCGTTAGCACTGCCCCCATGATGAGGTCGAGGTTCACTTTGAGACATTCGTGGGCCTCCTGCTGGATAACAGCTGCGAGAAGCTGCGCCAGTGTTGATGTCAGGTTGTAGGGAAGAGAAATTTTCCTATACAAACCAATGATAGTCGTTATTACAGGCGGTGTGATAGATTCTAGCTTCTCGCGGCTGAGGAGAGGACTAATGTGACCAATTGCAGCAATGGTTTCGTTTCTTAGGTCCGTGTTTCCTGATTTAAGCCACTGGGAGACTAGGGTGTCAGCAATAAGGTCACACTGTTCAGTGTAGTGATGAATAGCGACAGCTACACCTCTACTAACCTCGCTCACGCTTGGTGGGTCAGGTGGCAACTCATCAACATTCAAGTCAATAGGAAGGCCATCCTCGGGAGTCGAGTCGGAGCAAACAAGTGAATCTGCACGAGGCTTCACTTCATTCGTATCCTCACTAAATGGACTGGCCGGTAGCCGCTGATTGTCTTCATTGTCTTTCTTCTCAGCCGCCCTTAACTCCTCCTCTAAGGTTACCAGCAACTCTCCTGCCTCTGGCCCTGAAGACTCAAACGGAGCTTCACAATCATCGCCGAGCTCGCTATTGGCATCAAGCAGCTCGCTGTTCTCCGCCAAATCTTCCTTCTCAAAGAGAGAGTTGTCATCAATGACTTCCTGTTCCCTCAAAGGACTCCCACTGAGAGTGTTATGATGAGCTTTGGAATCGCTCTCAGCCACAGCTTCAGCCACAGTCTGGGACAGCTTAGTAACCGTAGCAGCAATCACAGCTCGTGCCTGGTCTGTCGTGGCACTCAAGCCTGCATCGTGCATTGCTTTGAAAAGTTGTGGGACTTTAGTGACACTCTGCACAGCACAGCTGCTGCACACGCTGCCTAGACTCTCTACACCGCTCTGCCAGGCCATCTCCTTCACGCTGCTGCTGTCGAGGGCTTCTAACAGGGCGTCACAAACCTGCAATGAACAGTTCCATGAGAAAAATTCATGAATCAGTCTTCACAATTTTTTTCTGAAGTCCTGAAAGTTGTTTTCAATTCATAAAATAAAAATATTGTGAATTCTAATGTATCTCTTTGTGCACAGCATATTCAAATTTAATATTGGGAAAAAACACATGTGCTTAATGAACAGTATTTCAGCAAATATTCCACAAAACCACTGGACTGAAGGTATTTTAGATCAATTATGATCTAAATTATGAGATGAGATCATAGCTTAAGAATACTACACAATTCGTAGCAGCACCTGATGGAAGAAGTTGTGTTTGGAAGCTATAGTTACTAGGAGATTATCAGCAGCCACTCTTGTGGTGTTAGTGGCAGCGGTACGCGTGAGCTGGTGGACAGCCTCAGCCAGCCAGTCCTTGAGAATGCTTTCATCCAGGCCTGACTTGCATGAAATTCCTCCCGCATTTTTCACATCTTGTTGTGAAGAATTAACCACATTCATTTTATTGCTTGCATTTCCTGCTTTGGTTTTATCCCTGTTTGAGCTTGCACAGTCCACCATCACCTTTTGACTGATGCTCATCAGAGTAGCAAGGACACCAGGCTGCATCGGAAATGGACAGACATATGACAGGATATAGGATTTTTATTGTACATTTAGGAAATCACAGGAACCTAGCAAGTAAGAGACTAAAAAGGGATATAACATAAGTGTTCTGCATAAAACTTAGACAAACCAAATTTTAAATTAAATTCTTCACATTAGTATCAATAAATTATATTTTCTAATGATAACTTTATTGGGACATGAAGGTTGGAAGGGAAGAGAGATGCAAACTCTAATTATTTTGAAAGTTGCATTTAGCTACAGGCTCAGATGGGCAACATTTTTGTCCAATCCTCGATGACGGCAATTTTTCACATTTTTCTTCAAGAGTCAATTATTTCACTGATCATTAATAGAAATTTTTTCCTATAAAACCCACATTATCTTACAAAAATTAATGATGAATTTAGAACTAACAAATAAGTTATGAGAGTACCGGTACCTATACATATGCACATTAATGCTTACTACTATATAGCATTTAAATGCTTACAGATTACTATAGAATTTCTAATGAGGCAAGCTGGCCATAAAATTCTAATGTAGTACGTATACACTGGCTTCATTTGGCTGGCAGTTCAGAGCATTGAGTGTGAGCTTCACATGATCAGATAAAAGTATTTACAAACTACCATAACTTGTCTTTTTAGTGCCAATTAAACCAGCTACAAAATTATTGATCCAAGAACAGGCATAGGTCTCAGTAAATGTGTATTCCAAGAGACAAGCATGTTATATTTATAATGAACTCAAAATTGAAGGTTATATGAAGTTAGGAACATTTTCATCCAAGCTGAAATTGATGAGAATTTCTATGAATGACTTGATGAGAGGCAAGTTGACAAGAGAAGTTTACTGACAGCAGGTGGAGGCTGCTGCATGCAAGTGAGTAGCAGAGCACGAAGCACAGGCCTGGGCTGCTGGGCCCCCAGTACACAGAGTGAAGTTTGGGCAGCAACTCGTACATCAGCGCACATGTCACCAAGACTGCACACCAACGCCCAGACTACACCTGCAACATAAAAGCATGATAGCATAACAAGGAAGTATGGATGATATGCCAAAAAATTCATGTAACTGAAAAATCATTACCTATATAAATACAGTATCTCATCATGAACAGTGGCAACCCAAAAGTATAAAATCACATCAATTAGTAGTAAAAAATTAAAAATTATAAATCATCAAATGTGGAGGTTACAAGCATTGTTTGACGTTATATTGCTTAGGATATTATATCAGCCTAGTATACATCAATCTTTCAATATAATAGCCTCTCACTTATCCTTCTTACCTTTCTCGTTGAACTCGGAAGGCGGAGCCATTGAGCAGCGTGCAACCACACAGATTACTAAAATGCAAGTACTACTTCAGTTGTCTGAAATTTAATGATTTTTCTACTTTTGGCATTGGATTTTTAGCCAAAGATTCAATGTTATTATGTTTTATTTAAAAAAAATCAAGCAGCATCACATAGTGGCAGTTTTCTCCACTATCAACTAAATAAGTAAATAAAATATAATGATACAAACAGTGAAAGTTATTTCTCAATCACTCTGCTTTAGACACTTGAATAAGTAAAACTTGTCAATTAATAAATTTCATATCAAGTCCAAAGTACCGTATGTTTAATGAAGATGGTGGCAGCCTCATTACCATAACTTCTAAATAAAAGTAATCAATCTTTTATTTGAATTTGATTGGCAGTTGACAATCTATTTTGACCAACATTTTCCTTTAGTTTAGCCTCAAGGCTTTACTGCTATAAACAGCAATTCAAATTACCAATGTTGCAAACAGAAAAGCAATTGCAGGTATTCAACAGTTCAATTTTATAAGTCTACATTTCTGGTGAGAAGCTCAAAATAATGCTAATGTTTGCAGTTTGCACCTAAATAGCTTTTCTCACAAAGGCCAGGAATCTGCCCCACCCATTTGAAATATAATTGGAGAGTAGTGCTGCTATTAGGAGTAATTATTTATGCAGGTTTGATCAAAGACCAGATATTGTTTGCTGCTTCCAAATGCTGTCGGCCTGCTTGCAGTTGGAGCGCGGCCCGGATACGGGCCCAAATCGACAGCAAATCTCTCCCCATCCCCCGAAAGAGGGACCCGAAGCCCATGTTTTTTGGTGCTGCCGGCCTGCGGCTCCCCACGTGTGGTCGGCGTCTCTGTTGCTACTAGCGGGGGATGTCGAGGAGAACCCGGGTCCGAGGACAGCCCGGNATATGTAACATGTATTGAAAAATAATTTGGCTTCTTTGAAGTGAATAAAATGAGTCACTGCCGTATAAGAAAAAATAGGAGCATCCATCAAATGCAAATAATGTTCAGAAAAATTCACTAATATTTTTCAATTGTATAAAGACAAATACAATGTATTCACCATAAAGCCAAATTTAAAATTTTAAATCACGTTTCAGTTAGCTTTCACAATATTATAGTCAAAGAAAAAATTCTTGACTGACGCCACAGTCAAAATATTGGAGCTCCGTCAAAATATCACGATGAAAAACAGTCTTAAAAAATCCTGTGGCAGCTAAGCATTTCTTGCCATTATTTCTCTATATAATTTGGGTCGGGTCCATATCCATTGCCATGCTGATGCACCACTTTGTTGTTGTATTTGTTCATCCTAAAAGTGGCAGCTAAAGAGGGGGGCGATAGGTCAGTTTTTCAGGACCACGACCATCACTGGCTCGCTGACCCGCCAGAACCATTTAGATGTGTATAAGAGACAGACATTGCAGAGCGCAAGACAAATCGTTTGCCACCATTTGCACGTTCAAACTGGCAAAACTCGATCTGTTATGATGTTTTAAAGGGGTGGGGCTAACCTTTTGCGTCGGGCTGTAATAAACATGAAGTCTCCCTATTAAAAAGTTATATTTCGTTGGTCATCAAAGATCAAAGTTTATATCAACTACGCGAGTCGAACTAACAATAATAAAATGCTATTATTAATATTATTTTATTATTAATAATAAAATGCTATTAAAATGCGGCTATTATACATACGAAATGTAAACAGACGGTGTTTAGTGTTGCCATATGACTTTGGAGAAAATTTCATCTAAAATAAAGTTCTAGAATAGATTTCTCATTTACCAAATTTCCGTACTATTAAGAAAAATCATATATTATTGAAAGATAATTAAAGGTATACTGTACTGAGTCTAGTATGGAATATATCTACTTGGCGAGCCGTTGCCACGAATGGGCGCTATGAGTAGGGTGACATAAGTGGAGTGCTATAGGTGGGGCGCCATGGAAGGGATCCTCTTTACCTGAGCGATGGTCCTGAGTAGCGCCTCGTGCTGCGCGCCGCTGCTGCTGCTGATGGCCTTCTGTACGTCCTGTAGGCAGACACAGGCAGTAGAAGTGCAAGCAACGCTTCATGTTGACACTATATTCAGTAGTACCTACATGCCAAATCCTTCCATTGTATTGTACAAATATCGTGCAATTCATGACAAATATTCAACCATAATTCACTGAAAGATATCTTAGAACAGTCGGTCACTCAAGCCAGCAAGTCGCCCTACTGAGAACCCAAATGCCGGTATTCGATTTAATCAAAACTAAGTTCAGTGAACTTGTAGACTGCGTTGCACAAAATACTGTTAAACAGAAATGATATGTTACAGTGAGCGGCTGCAAGGTTTGTTCGGTCTGGTGTGGTGGTGCGGCGTTGTAGCGCGCGGCAACCCGCAGCACGGCCACCACACACCCCACAGCACCACACCGCACTCCTCCACACGGGTCACCCAGTCGTGGCACCAGCGCCCCCAGCACGCTGCTCGTCTGGTGGAAGTTCACTGCAACCTGCAATGCCGGGAAGGAATGTCATCTGATTTGCAATGTTATACTTACGATAACATATCAACTTTTTCCTCTAACGAGATGGAAAGTTTCTGTTCAAGACTACAAATGCTGGCCCGGAGACCTATATAAGAATTGAGATCCAAACACCTTCCATCTTCAGTGAGCGATGAATGTATCAGTTGTAGTCCAGTTGTAAATGAGACTTTCGTTATTCCCTTTGGTCAGACCCCGTAAACGCTGCAGGGCTGCTGGCCCGCTGGGGCGACCAACTTGGCTGGCCCCAGAACTGGGTCTAGGCCCCACCTCGCGCCATGAAGCGAGGCGGGGAGGGTCAACAACAACAACATATTGTTTGCTATTAAAAATTTTCTCATTTTTTTTATAGGTTGAACAAAATTTCTTGCTGGTGCTGGGAGATTGAGAAGCATGTTATCATGTGACATTTTACTGGAATACTTTTAAATATTCAATATTCATTCTCAAGTAGGTGAAGAGCTTACAACACTTGAAATACAAAATTTGAAAAATAAACAGAGTAAATACAAAAAATAGAGTAGATACAAATCAAAATCAAAACATAAAATTGTTCTTAAAACAACTTTAACTTCCTCTCAAAGGTGCTCAGAAGAGGGGAGTTCACCCTTGCAATATTCAGGAGACAGGCAGACAGCTGGACAAATTATTGAGAAAGATGATCAAAGATCATCTTGCATCAGCTGGCCCAAAGGTGGGCTGAACGGGTGATAGAGGGAAGACATGCAACATTACATCCAGCATCCAGGACCCAAAGGTGGGGCAATGAGCAACCTGCCTAGTGGCTAGTGCCTACTGCCTAGTGAGTGCCTAGACTGCCTACCAACAACTTGGAGAGGGACGATGACAAAGGTTGCACATCAGCATGGCTATGGATCAACAAGTCCTAAATTCTATTGTTAATAAAAAGCATGTTCTGGTCTTCAATTAAACCTGCATAAATGAAAAACTGCCTTACTACACAAATCCTATTAGTAAATAGTACACACAAGTGACACAAATGACACAATTGTGAAGTGACACTGACGCTCAATACCTACTCGAAAGTCAAAACTGATTCACAAATTATCTTTCATTATAGGTACTTTGAAGAAAATAAGCCATGGTGGTCTACGACTTATCAACTAAAAACTATTCATGTTTTCTTCAATCAATCACTCAAAATAGAAGGAATAGAAATTATTCGCACCAAAAAATATCACACCCATTCCGTGAGAATGAAGATGACGAATAAACAGCTGTTGACACTCACTTGACAGGACCCGACGCCGGAAAACTTTCCGCAGAAGTGGATTATAACATAACATAGTGATGTCGGTGATAAGGAGTAGTCCTGGCGTGGCCCATGGTTGAATTAATATATTAATTCAACCATGGTTGTGGCCTGTCGCCGATTCTTGAACTTTTCGTGACTTGTTTCCAGAAGATCTAAAATCGTGTCATTTAACCGGATCTCATCAAGACTGACAATAGTTTGAACTTTGAAATAGCTACTAGACTTCCACCAGGTTCGATATGGTGCTAGGCCATAAGGCCATTACACAGATGGTTAAACCAGTATATATAGTTCAACCATGATTACACGCATGCATGGTTGAATTAGTATAAGTTTGACCCATCAGAAGCCCATTTTTGCGAATGTAGTTCGTTGTTTACCTGTGACGTCACTGATCTCAGTGACGTCACGAGCATTCACCAATCACCGAAATAACCGAATGCGATCAAACCAGTCAACCCATGGTTGATAGTTCAACCATGAGTCAACCAATTCGGCATGGGAATTACGGTATTTTTTACGTTTCTCGATCTCGGTGACGTAACAAGAAAGCTGAACTGAGAGATAGAACTTCACATGGGTCAACTTTATATAGTTCAACTATGATTACACGCATGGATGTTCAACCATGATTACACAATTCCCATACGATTTGTCCGAAAACCTAGTAGTTTACTTTCGTCCAATAAAAATTTATAGTTTACTTGATAGTGCAAGCCTTGCATAGCCAAACAAAAAAAATTAATTTGAGGAGAAGAATAAAAGTAAATTGAACATCAACCTCATTTTTAGCCTTACAACGAACTTNAGAATTAGCAAATAAAGAGGAACATGGACAGGTGATGATGCCTATACTATGGTGCAGATAAATTGAATGAGCACTTGATCAGACTATTGCACTTGCTGGTTGAATTCTGTTTATACTGTAATTCTGTAATACTGTAAAGAAAATAAGAAAAGAACAATATTAACTAACACAAAGTAAAATGAATGATCTACCTGTCCACTCAATATATTATTAAAAATGAGAATAAAGATCATGAACGCAGGAAGGTTGTGCTATAAAAATAGTATTTACAACCCCCGGTAACAGTGCATAAAGAGAAACAATTTTGATTACATTGTGCCAATTGTATGCAGCAAATGGCTTAAAAAGAGTCAAAATGCGCGGGAAAATTCACCGAAAACATACATCATCCTGAGTGTGGAGTAGGTGAAGAGCTTACAACACTTGAAATACAAAATTTGAAAAATAAACAGAGTAAATACAAAAAGTAGAGTAGATAGGCTACAAATCAAAATCAAAACATAAAATTGTTCTTAAAACAACTTTAACTTCCTCTCAAAGGTGCTCAGAAGAGGGGAGTTCACCCTTGCAATATTCAGGAGACAGGCAGACAGCTGGACAAATTATTGAGAAAGATGATCAAAGATCATCTTGCATCAGCTGGCCCAAAGGTGGGCTGAACGGGTGATAGAGGGAAGACATGCAACATTACATCCAGCATCCAGGACCCAAAGGTGGGGCAATGAGCAACCTGCCTAGTGGCTAGTGCCTACTGCCTAGTGAGTGCCTAGACTGCCTACCAACAACTTGGAGAGGGACGATGACAAAGGTTGCACATCAGCATGGCTATGGATCAACAAGTCCTAAATTCTATTGTTAATAAAAAGCATGTTCTGGTCTTCAATTAAACCTGCATAAATGAAAAACTGCCTTACTACACAAATCCTATTAGTAAATAGTACACACAAGTGACACAAATGACACAATTGTGAAGTGACACTGACGCTCAATACCTACTCGAAAGTCAAAACTGATTCACAAATTATCTTTCATTATAGGTACTTTGAAGAAAATAAGCCATGGTGGTCTACGACTTATCAACTAAAAACTATTCATGTTTTCTTCAATCAATCACTCAAAATAGAAGGAATAGAAATTATTCGCACCAAAAAATATCACACCCATTCCGTGAGAATGAAGATGACGAATAAACAGCTGTTGACACTCACTTGACAGGACCCGACGCCGGAAAACTTTCCGCAGAAGTGGATTATAACATAACATAACATAGTGATGTCGGTGATAAGGACTTTTAAGGAGTAGTCCTGGTGTGGCCCATGGTTGAATTACCATATTAATCCAACCATGGGTGTGGCCTGTCGCCGATTCTTGAACTTTTCGTGACTTGTTCCCAGAAGATCTAAAATCGTGTCATTTAACCGGATCTCATCAAGACTGACAATAGTTTGAACTTTGAAATAGCTACTAGACTTCCACCAGGTTCGATATGGTGCTAGGCCATAAGGCCATTACACAGATGGTTAAACCAGTATATATAGTTCAACCATGATTACACGCATGCATGGTTGAATTAGTATAAGTTTGACCCATCAGAAGCCCATTTTTGCGAATGTAGTTCGTTGTTTACCTGTGACGTCACTGATCTCAGTGACGTCACGAGCATTCACCAATCACCGAAATAACCGAATGCGATCAAACCAGTCAACCCATGGTTGATAGTTCAACCATGAGTCAACCAATTCGGCATGGGAATTACGGTATTTTTTACGTTTCTCGATCTCGGTGACGTAACAAGAAAGCTGAACTGAGAGATAGAACTTCACATGGGTCAACTTTATATAGTTCAACTATGATTACACGCATGGATGTTCAACCATGATTACACAATTCCCATACGATTTGTCCGAAAACCTAGTAGTTTACTTTCGTCCAATAAAAATTTATAGTTTACTTGTTAGTCCAAGCCTTGCATAGCCAAACAAAAAAAAATTAATTTGAGGAGAAGAATAAAAGTAAATTGAACATCAACCTCATTTTTAGCCTTACAACGAACTTTGTCCAATTATTGAGAACATACATGAGTAAAACGGTACCATTCAGCTTCAAGAATAGAATAAAGAAACCGTTAGCCTATTTCTTCCGCGACGTCCTCGTGATGGTGCTCTGACTTACGCTACTGGCAGTCTTCGGCGAACATCTTAGGTCAGGCTTAAAACTATTGTAAAATCATCGGAACATTTTATAGGTAAGAACTGGCCATGATTAACTGACTTACGATGATGATTATTTTATCTTAGTTTATTTGTGATAGCTATCGGCCAAGGTTTACGAGTCTCGTCATATTTACGGTATTAACTATGCGACAAAGTACAGCTCAACACCTAATAATCTCAACGGGATTATAATAATCGCTCAGATAGGCAATTATACTCTAGGATATTATATTCATCAACTACAGGCTGAACTGCCAAGGTGCTCCTGCCGGTACCATTATTCGCCCCTATATTAGTTCCTTCCGCCTTTTACCTGTGGCTCCCTTTACCTAGGCTCTTTCACAGCATTTTTTCACACCTCCTCCAGAAAGATGCACCTATATACGGCTAATAATTATGTTCGCAGTTATGCCAGTTTCATCACATGGTACGACTATGAACTATTTACGTTTCACTTGTGAAGCCTAAGACCACAGTGGGTTGTATGCTGGAACCCTGCTTTCAGTGACGGTTCTGGTGAAAATCGGCGAGCTGCGCGGGTGGCTGAAAATAACGAGATTGTAGTAGCGAATTTCGGATTGATAGCCCAAAAGGCTGCGAGAATTATACGTCAAGAATCCATGACTGGCCCCTAATGAACGCTGACACCGCTATTACTATGCGTCTCTACACGACTGATTGCATTCATCAATCACCAGCCACGCTCCATTTCCAGACTCGGACAAGTATGGAGCTGTCTGCCGTTCTCGCTTAGAACGTCGCACCTAACCTGTCATTTCAAGTCCAAGTGGACGGTACCTCCGTCTCTCCGCCCCCTTGCCTTATCTGGAGACGTAGTCGAGCAGCGAGACCACTACAAAGGTTCCGGCTCAAGTTTTATCTCTTTTCCGTCGCGAAACAACCTACTCTGGTTATGTCAGCCTTGGCCATAACCACTCTTACCAAGGCTACTTCCTCCTAGCAGAGGTGGGCAGTAGCGCGCTACATGTAGCGGCCGCTACATGTAGCGGCCGCTACATTTTTAGTAGCGGTAGCGGCGCTACATTTAAGCAATTGTAGCGGTAGCGTTAGCGCCCGCTACATAATTAAGTAGCGATACGAGGTTTTGCCGCTACAGCTGTCGAGCAGCGAGATCACTACGAAGGTTCCGGCTCAAGTTTTATCTCTTTTCCGTCGCGAAACAACCTACTCTGGTTATGTCAGCCTTGGCCATAACTACTCTTACCAAGGCTGCTTCCTACTAGCAGAGGTGGGCAGTAGCGCGCTACATGTAGCGGTACTTAATAGTATCAAATGTTATTTAAGAAGCATCATGATACATACATAATATAAATTACAGAATAAAACTGTACGAGATATTTCGGTGTAATGTCGTCAACCTCAGCCTGTTACTAGTGTCAACATGTTAGTTGTTACCAGAGGTGGGCAGTACCACGCTTAATGTAGCGGCCGCTACATTTTCAGTAGCGGTAGTGGCGCTACATTTAAGCAATTGTAGCGGTAGCGCCCGCTACATTTAGAGCATGTACCGCGGCCGCTACATTTCAAAGTAGCGCTGCCCAGCTCTGCCACCTAGACATGATTCACCGCCACCCCACGTGTAAGCGATATTATCATTGTAAACATTATTTGACGAGTCCATTCCACTCCGTTCCTCGACTTGGACATCAATTTCGGCCATCAAAATATCCACCAAAATTTGAAAAATAAATAACTATTGGTTTCAAGAGTATTTATTTTTTCGTATAGAGTAAATAGTTGCTAGGAATAAAGGGCCTCAGTTCCCAGAAGATATACAAAAGGTGGCACACGGCTTGGTCTTACAAGGAATTCAAGTAACAGATGTCGAACAGGATGCTCATCCCATAGCGTAAAAATATATCAATTTTTGTAATCGGCATGCATGTTGGCGGTGTGAACAGTTGATGCAATTAAACAATATGCCGCCGGTTCGTGGGTATTTTACAATAGTGAACAACATTTGCATCAATAAGACGACACATCCGCATCAAAAAATTTTATGCTCGTTTCTGTTCATTGTGATTGAACATTTTTAGAATAACCTCAAATCTTTATATCGATAGCGAGCAAATCTACTAAAAATAAACTCATAAGTTCACAAAGTCTCAATCAGGAGAGCAAGAAAGATGCGCGCATTTTCAATAGCGTGGTCTCGATGAGGTAAACTACTGCAAGCTGGAATTTAAATTACATCAAAAAACACAAAAATTAATTGGAATGCGCGCATTCTAAAATGTCAATGAAGTAGAACATTTTCATGCATATTATTTCTTCAACAATAAATTGCTTCGTTACTCCTAAGGAAATACTATTTTCATGGCAGAAATGATTGTAGTAACAACGTAATATCGAGTGATACATTCATTTTTCGTTAATGACCGCACTTCTAGCTTCTGAACTTCTTGAAGAGCGCATGCTTGTGTTCCTTGTTGGGGACGTGTTTGCGACGCTCGGCGTAGATGGCGTCATCGCCACCCGACACGCTCGCCATGCTGCCAGGGCGACGCTGGAACGCAGCGCCGCCTCCTGAGGGAGCTGGTTTTCCTCCCAATTCAGTGACGCCTTCTTCGTACAGGTCGCTTTCAGCTGCAGCCAAGATACTCTCTAGTAGACCGAGTTTGTCCTCTTTAGAAGAATACAAAAGCTCTTCCTTGTCATAGCCCGTGAGTTTGTTGGGAGTGATGACTTGGTAAGCATAGCCTTGGTTGATGAGGAAGCTCTGACGCTTGCGTGAGTAGCCCATCTCTCTGGTGTCCTGCGACAGCAGTGCGTAGAAGAAGGCGTTGAAATTCTCAGCGACGGCGCTTTTCTTGGCACGCAAAATGCGACCCAGTCTCTGGGCCTCCTGACGTCGAGATCCTCCTTGTGATGAAATTTCTATAAGCACGTTCGCTTCCGGAATGTCAAAAGACGTGTCAGCAACACGACTAAAGAATATTGTGTTGACTTTAGGGTTCAACTTGAAGTTTTGAATGATCATCATTCTCTCCTTTTGGCTGGTTTTACCGCAGATGAAAGGCTTATTCATGGCCATGGCATAATGCCTCAATGCAAAAACTTCATCGATAAAAACAATGATTTTATCACATCGTTGTTCGTGATATTTTATCAAGAACTGACAGGTTCGGAATTTATTGGGATTCATTGCACAAAGAAGCTTGATTTTTTGATCAGAAACTTTGCCAGTGAGATATTCCTTGTAGAATTCAGGAGTCATCGGACACCACACTTCAGCGCACTGAACCTTTGCAATGAAGCCTTCCTTCTGCAGCTCGAGCCAGTTGGCCTCATACAGCTTGGGACCTATCAAGAAGTTGAGGTCGGCGATCTTGTCATCTTCTCTGACAAGCGTGGCTGTGAGGCCGAGCTTACAATGGGCCTGTACGATAGTGAGCACTCGCCTGAACATTTTGGCCGGGATGGTGTGCACCTCATCCAACACCATGATGCCCCACTCCTGCTCTTTGAGCCATTGCATTGTTTGCTCAGCTTCGTACGCGCGCTTTTGTTGATGTGAAATCATGGCATATGTCGTGACGAGAATGCCGGCATTGTAGGGCTTATCTTTAGCATCTGAAGTGAACCGACAAATCATATCATCCGTAGCAGTGGACCACATCTTGAATTGCTGCTTCCATTGCTCAACTGACACGCCAGAATTACATAGCACCAAAGCCTTTTTGTTGACAGTGCAGCAGGCAGTGACACCAACCAAACTCTTGCCAGCACCGCAGGGCAAGACAATAATACCTGACCGCGCTCGGCCGTTCCCGAACATCTTTCTGAGCGACTTCTCCTGGTAAGGTCGTAGCACAGCACTAGGCTTTAGATCAATCTTGATGTCGTCATTCACAGTGTCATTCTTAAAGTCGTATTCGGCCAAAAGAGGATAATCTAACCCAATGCAAGTCTTCTGCAACAGTTCAATCTTATCTTGAGTGATTTCAAACGATAAAGTTTTCAGATCTTTGTCTTCCTCTTCTTCATCATCAGCTTTATCGATCTTATCATAGAAGCTAGCAATGTCTTCAGGTACGAGATCATCCTTAGGCTCACCGTTTTGGTCAAGGGTCGTAGTATCCTGCGTCTCACCGGCCATCTGCCCCTGGTGACTCGTGAACACGATGGATGAAACCTTCTGCTTCTCAGTGGACACCAAACCCTCATCGGGACGCAACATGCACTCCTGTATGGCCGCGTTTTTAATGAGGGTCTGAATAACATCTGGAAAGTCGCTTTCAACGTAATATCTGTTACGTTTTAGTACCAGCTTCACTTTACCATAAGACAGGGTGCACGCCTCAATGAAGTCGCATATGCCTGAGGGCAGAGTGGTCTTACTGAGACGTTTGAGGTAGTCAACTATGTCGTTAGTTTGGAGGCCAACACTCACCGCCGCATACAGAGAGTATGCTGTCAGTTTATATTCATGAATGTGCTCAGGACGACACACAGGCTCTGCAATCGTGATGAGAAAGTCTTTGGCATGTTTGTAGACAGGCGAGAAAGCTTCCAGGAAAATATGACCGTTTGGTGCTACCCACAGCGGGCGACTGTTGTGGTCATCCCTTAATTCCATGATGCTACGAAAATCTTGTGCACCAAATTCATCCTTTGGGATGTCAACCAGGCTTCGCTCCTGATGTAAACAAAAATGAACTATAAAATCGCCTTCATTATACAGTACAAATAGTACTAGCCTCAATGACTTCTTGTAAGAAATGCAAGATCTTTTGTGAGTTTTGTTCAATTCAAGTTAATTATAAAGGAATTGTAATTCGCCATTTGTAAGACAAAACAAACAGTGAAATTGTTATAAGTGGGATAAAATTTAGAAAAAATTGATTTTATTTTGTGAAAAGTATTAATTATAGAAATAGTTCTTAAATCAATGTATCCTCATCGTTAGTAACCTTAGGCAACAAATAAGTGTCAAAATTCTTCCAGATTAACATTTATACTGTTAACATATACCTACCTACCATACTTACTTTTGTGGTCTGTGCACTGAGGTCTTTATACAGGCAGTTAGTGGCACCATGCCATTTGGCAGCTGCTTATACATTGAAACCCGTTTCATATGTGCAGCATAATATCTTTAATCAACCCAACCTTACATAATACCATTATATAGACATTGAATACACAATATTAAACTGAAATTTGCATTCATTTGTACTTGTAAATCTAACCACAATCAATTTATTTTGACACCAAATAGATTGATATATCCACAATCATCAATTGATATCCATCATTTGCATTCATGGGTAATAGTTGTGGTTAATATTGATTGCAGCGCATTTCTGTCCATATTGGTTGTAGTGCATTTCAGTCCAAATCCATCATTGGCCATCTGCCATAGTGATCATAAATCACCATCCAACATTGAACTGTAATAATTTAAACTCAGGTATTTAAGACAACCAATTGGCATGTTTGAGGTGATGACCTGGCATACTCCACGGGTGTCATGCCTCACCTTGCTGTCTGCCAAGACTCTGATGTACACACCTTCACATTCACTTACCTCCACATTTTGAGTGGATGCCTGAGGAATGCCTTCTAGGTCATCAAGATCGTCATCATCAGAGTCATCTCTTCTTCTTTTCTTTCCTTTGTCAAAGTTTTTGCTCTTCTTTCCCATCGCGCGATTTGGTTTTTGGTGATCCAAGTCAGAAGTTGGATTGAAGAAGAACTGCAAGACAAAAAGCTGTTAATGATTTAATAACTTTTTGATTCAGATATGGAACTTGATGAACTGTTCCCTTCTTTTCTATCCCATATGGGCAGTTAGACATTTGCTCAGAATCTCAATGAGTATAAATACATGAGCTGATTGAGCTCAGTGTAAATTTTTGGAGAAAGTTATTTCAGCTCACACTATTTTGGTTGGGAAATTTGTTGTTATTTTAAAAGTCTCTTATTAGTCTGAAGATTAACTTGGCCTTCCTTGGCTTTCAAATAAAATCCTAAACAAATTCAAACTAAGCCACAAGACCAACATACCATAACTTGATCAAATAATCATATGTATGTACACAATTTTCTGTGCATTGGAGAATTCCTGGCAGAAGGTAATGCATATTCATGAATGACTAGAGTTATTTAAAATTTCCTGCAAGTACTTTCAGCACTTTTAGAACAATATTGTGAGTTTGGTATGAACTCCTTGTCATCTTGCTTTCAACATAATATCAGAGATTTCATTGGTCCCCCAAGGAAATCTGTAAAATTCAAATTGTATTAAATTAGAAAATTAGGTCTAAATATTTGCAAAATTCAAATTTATCACTATCATTTTTTACACTCTTTATCTACAACATCAAATTAAGAATCAGTTAAGGCTGAAGTAATGTTGAAAATCAACTTCTAATTAAAGAAGCATGTTCAGAGCATCCCCTTGTTTCCATTCTCATCAGATTATAATAACAGTAACAATTTAATTGCAAATAAAAAGTGTAAATATTAGGTACCATGGTACATCTTAATTACAGTTCGGTACATCTTAATTGGCCAGTGACATCAGTACCTACATAAAAATAAATTCTCATTTTTTTGTTGTATACCAGTATTTCATAAAAATATTTCATTCCGTCAAACGGGCTAACAAGGGATGATTTTGAGCATTTTTCATTTATAATTTGCTACCATTAAACATTTCATGAATAAGTTTGAGCTCATTTTAAAGGTCTTTGTGAGGGCTATTGTATGGCATCTCTGAAAAAAGGGCATCTCTGGCATCTCTTTGTGAGGGCATCTCTGGCATCTCTCCATATGCCATTTGTGAGGTGTTAGATGCAAAAGAAAAGCATCCCAAATTACTCCTGAGAACGGGGCAATTCAAGACCCTTGAAATAAAACTTATTTTTAAAACATTTCAAGCATGCAGAGTGTATTCAGCCATTATTAACAGTACTCTGAAGCCCTCCTCTTCCTTTGTATACCAGGTTCTTGGTCTGCCTAACATCCTGGCTACCTGAATGCCTTGGTAAACTGGCGCTCACCATAGCAGGAGAGACAATCTAGAATCCTCACAGGTTAGGTTTAACATAATGGTTTCAAATTGAATATGAAAAACATTTATTGCACCTATTCTCTACATCAGCTTTCAAATTGAGGATAAACTCATCAGTAATCAGAGAAACTTCTCAAAGAAAAGGCAATGCACAACAAACATGACACTTGACTCAGTCAAGCATTGCCTTCATGACTCAGTTGACTGATTAGAATGGAGTACCGTACTTGACAATTTAACATTCAAACCTTTAGATTCTGTGAACCTTGTGGTTTCTTCATTATTAAAACTTTAGAAGGCTCACAGTGTATCACGTAAAGTTTTCACTCAATTATCGTCTCTACATTTGGGAGCTTTATCTGCAGTTAATGCGCTGTAGCTACCTCACACACTAATTATGTAATGAGAACTAACAAGTAAACACTAACCATCATTAGACTCTTGCCACCTTGGCTGTTGCACACAATTAATTCTGCATGCATGCGCTAACATTTACGAAAGTTATTAAACCATTCTTTTGAATGTCAGTTAGGGTAAACACACCATATTCCAACACCTAAAGGACGTATCAAGAAAAAAATGGCTATAAATAGATCACAGTATGCGCAACTCCAGTTCTGATTGGTTTACGTCACTCTCAAAACACCACACTATGCGCCAGCAATAATGAAACATTACAAACTGTTGCCATATTCATCTAAGTCTTCAGAATTCAAATCTACAAAATCGCTGTATACCGACACATGCGTGACTAAATGCGGCATATTGTGAGACTAATCCCGACAGCGCTTCAAAATTATAATTCATAATTCCGACACCCTGTGTTAGAATTCTAACAGCCTGTGTAAGCTGTGTTTGAATACGACACAGCTTGGAACGAGCTGTGTGTGTCTCATTCTGAGCTGTGTCAGAATTAGTTTTTATGTGTCTAAACCGTCTCTTATATTAATCATCTATTAATTTATTTACCACTTAAAATCAGTAAATACAAGTATACTTAAAGGATTCCTAATATATTTACAGACTTATTTTAAAAGTCTCAACCCATTATATTCTTTCTAAACAAACAGTTTATCACTATTTGGTAGAGCAAGGTCAACTATCAAGTTTCACTTGTGTTTCATCAATGTTCTCACTGGGTGACGTGGAGTTTCGCTCTGCGGATCTTAACTTTTTCCTGCCAGACCTAGTGTTTTGCGGAAATATTGCGCGCAATAGTATGACATCACTATCTCAACCATCCATGGTCAGTAAGATGTGCCAGGTGCGCGGGAATTTAAATTGTCTTTTAACAAACCTGCGCGCTGCGCCATACTATGCTGGTAAAAATAATTCACCATGCGCCATACTCCAACAAGGCAAAAAAGTTTAAATATGGACGCGTGACAACGCTATCAGTCTATCACACATCGTACACACAAACTTCTATCTGCATTGTCCTGTGGTTGGATATGAAGATTCTTTCATAGATCATAATTCAAGCAAACATTAATCACAGAACTGAAGAAGGCCACATCACTTGATATGTGCCATTGGTGCCTTCTAATGATTGAGTGGTTGCCGCAAGTAGGGTACGAACCTGTATGTCAACGTAAGGACTACTTTCCCAACATCCTCCCGGCTGGCAAAATAGACACGATCAATACCTAATAACAATGCGCAAAAATGGACTATACAAATTAGGTCAATACAGCATAATTACAGAGCATAATTAAACTAAGTGATACAAAATATGAATATATATATATATATTAGCAAGATAAGTCAATGGTCTGCTATTTATTTTTATTTTTTTGCTTCATTTGCGCAATTATGGTTTACAAATCCGGGTGCGCTATGTTATGTCATGTATACTTTGAATGTGCAAAATTATAACTATAATATGACAACTATTACGTAGGTTATCGTAGCACAAATTGCAATAGAGTATCAAGATTACAGTTCTGCCACCACCCTTCATTGAATTATCCCGCCTTTTTTCTAAAATTCAATAATCTCTCGTTGTCCAGCAAAGTTGGCAAAATTCATTAGCTGCATAAATTACTCTCTGCTGTGGTGTTCGAGTTCCGGTTGACTGCGTTTACATGACATCCATTTACTTGTTTGACGCTAATTTTGTAGAGGTTGCTTCAGATAAATTAATCACTGCCATTCCCATGTTCCATCCTCAATTTAATGTACCTTATGATATTGAATGGCATTATTCATACAAATCTGTATCTAATAAACATTTACATTTTAAGATCTGATGGAAGCAGCGAGCATCCCTAACAATACAAGGATGTATATAAAAACAATAATGATCTAGAAGCGGGCTTCACAAAAAAAAAAAACATTTCAACATGGCTACAAATAAATAAAGATCATTACTTGTAGTTTAATAAACATAAAAAGTTAAAAAATAAAAGTTAAAAAATAAAATCCCTATTAAAATGTTATATTTCGATGGTCATCAAAGTTTATATGAACTACGCGAGTCAAACCAACAATAATAAAATGTAAGACATGTCGGGTTACTTCTGACTCTTCCGCTTGTCAGATACGGAACGTACGACAATCCTAAACTGTGGCTATTATACATACAAAATGCAAACAGAGCATGTTCAGCATTGCCATATGACTTTGGAGAAAATTTCTTCTAAATAAAGTTCTAGATTTCTCATTCACCAAATTTCCATATCAAGAAAAATCATATATTATTGAAGGATAATTAAAGGCATACTGTACTGAGTATTACGTCTGTTCCTCCACAAACTGCTCTTTTGCGGCATAGAACTGATGGCCGGGATTGCGCAAACACATGTGCGAAGAGAAACAAATTTGATTACATTGCGCCAACTGTGCGAACCTATAGCTTTATAAAACTCAATATGCAGGGGGAAAATTCCCCAAAAACATGCATCATCCCAAGTGTGGTAGACCATCAACGCATGCGTGGAACTAAGACAAAGCTTAATATAAATGAAAAAGTTGAGAAGTGTCAGAATTACCCATAGTGTCGGAATATGGTGAGTTTACCCTACTAATAAATTTGTAATATAGAAGAATTTATATCTTTAATTTTTTCACATGACTATATTGATGTACGGTATCATTTCTTGGTATCCCTGCTAGGTACCTTCTTTGTTCAAGTTAAGTTAAGTTTAAGTTAGGTACCTTCTTTGTTTGTTGCTAGGTCTTCTTTTAGACTTTCCAGATTTTTAGGTCATGCTTTATGATTTGCTATGTTTAGGGTAAACGTGGTATATTCCAACATCGTGGGTAATTCCGACACTTCTCAACTTTTTTCCTTTACATTAAGCTTTGTCTTAGTTCCATGTGTTCATTGATGGTTGAAATAGTGACATCATACTATTGCACGCCATACTATTGCCAAAACATTAGGTCTGGGCCGTCTGGCGGGAAAATGTTAAGATCCAAAGAGAGACAGTGCACGTCACCCAGTGGGAATATTGAAAAACATGGCAAAGTTGATAGTTGACTTTGCTCTACCAAATGGTGATAAACTGTTTGTGTAGAGAGAATATTTTGGTTTGAGACTTTTGAATAAGTCTGTGAATATATTAGGAATCCTTTAAGTATACTTGTACTTGCTAATTTCAAGTGGTAAATAAATTAATAGATGATTATGTTAAGCAACGGTTTTAGACACATAAAAACTAATTCCAACAGTTTGGAAT